CCTGCTATTTGGAAGGTAGAGATAGGAAGATTGGGGTTTGAGGCCAGGGCAGGAAAAAGTTAGCAATATCTTACCTCAGAGGTGGAGGCACAGTGACTACTTCTATAAGCCTTGCTATACAAGAGGCAGAAGTAGGAGGATCATGATCTGATACTGTACCCAGAAAAAAAGTGTGAGACCCTATCTGAAAAGTAACAAAAGCAAAATGAATGGGGATGTGGGTCAAATGGTCGAGTACTCACCTAGAAAGTCCAAGTTCCTGAATTCAAACTCCAATATTGCCAACTAAAGAAGGAATTCTATACCCAGTCAAAACCATCCTTCAAAAATTAAGGTAAAATAAGGCTTGGGATATAACTCAGTGGTAAAGTACTTGCCTAATATTTGTGAAGCCTTGAGTACAATCTCAGCACAAGAAGAAGGAAGAGAAGAAGGATAAAGGGAAGAGGAAAGGGAAGTGGAAGGCTTTCAGCTATCTGATTTCAAAATGTACTACAAATCTGAAGTAATGAAAACACCATACTATTGACATATAAATAGACACAGACAGGAATAACAGAACAGAAAGCCTAAAAGTAAACCCAACTGATTTTACAGTGAACTGATTGTCAGAACAAAAGCTGCTAACAACATGCATTGTAGAAAGGATGACCTTTTTGATAAATTGTGCTAGGAAAATGTAGTGTCCACATGCAGAAGCTACACTCTGATCTCTCACCAGTTACAAAAATCAACTCAAAATGGATTAAGGACTTAATATAAAACCCCAAATTATGACAGCATTAGCAGAAAACATGTGCATTATGCTTCAGGACATTAGAATGGGCAAGAATTTTTGGACAAGACCCCAAAAGCACAGAAAAGAAAAAACAGACAAATAAGTTTGTATCAAAGAAAGAAGTTACATAAAAGTTTCTGAGTACCAAAGGAAACAATCCTAAGAGTCAAGAGAAGACCTACAAAATGACAGAAAATATTTGTAAACTAAACATCCGACAAGGAGTCGATATCTAGAATATGTAAGAAACTTCAAAAACTCAACACCAAAACAAAACAACAATGACAAAAAACAACTCAGTTGAAAAATAGACAGTAGACCTAAATAGACATTTCTCAAAAGAAGATATACAAATAGCCAATGGGTATCCAAAAACGCTCAACAACATTAATGATCAGGGAAATGCAAATCAAAACCACAATGACCTTACTCCAGTAAGAATGACTTTTATCAAATGACAAAAAAAAAAATGCCAAGTGTTTGTGAGTATATGGAGGAAAAGGAACCTTTGTACATTGTTGGTGGAAAAGTAAATTAGTATCATCATTATGGAAACAATATCAAGATTCCTAAAAAAAAATAGAACTACTATGTGATCCAGAAATTCTAGAAATGGATGTATATCCAAAGGAAATGAAGTTAGAATATCAAAGAGACATCTGCACTCCATATTTATTGCAGCACGATTCATAAGACCAACAATGGAAACAACCCAAGTATCTACCAACTGATGAGTGGATAAAGAAAATCTGGTATACCGACACAAACACAGCCATAAAAAAGAATGAAATGTTATCATTTGCAACAATATGGACAGAAGTAGAGGTCATTATTCTAAGTGAAATAAGACAAGTACAGGAAGATGAGTGATGCATGACCTCACTCATGTGGAATCTAAAAATGATCTCATAAGTGATACTGGAATGGTATTTACAGAGACTGGGCATGTAAGGTGGAGGAGAGATGGGAAAACTTTGATCAAGAGTATTAAATTATAGTTAGATAAGACTAAGAAGTTCTGGTGTGCTATTGCAAGTAACATGACTATTGATAACAATATTATACTTCACATTTTAAAAGGCTGGAAGAAAGGATTCTAAATGGTTTCACCATAAAGAAATAATCCATGTTTGAAGAGATAGATATGTTTAATATGGTTTAAACACTGCACAATATGAATATGTATCAAAACGTCACATGGTACATTGTTAATATGAACTGCCTGATGCAGTAATAAGTGAAAAGTAAATAAAAGGTTTACTGATTAGGAAGGAAGAAATAAAACTCTTTTTGTTTATAAATGGCATCATGATCTGTTTAAAAAATCTGAAAGAACTGATTAAAAACAAAAGATGAGAAAGCCTCATGGAACTAATAATTGATTATAAGAAGGTTGCAAAGGACATGGTTTATATATAAAATTAATCACTTTCCTATATACCAGGAATGAATAAGTAGAAATGTGAAATTAAACACACAATGCCATTCATGTTAGACCCTCAAAAATGAAATACTAGGGCATAAATCTAATAAAATATATACAAGATAGATATGAAGAAAACTGTAAAACCCTGATGAAAGAAATCAAAGATTAACAAAAAAAAGATACCCCACATTCAGGATAGGAACACTCAGTATTTTCAACATGTCAGTTCTGCCTAAATTGATCTACATATTCAGTGCAATCCCAATCAACATCCCAACAGATTGTTTTGTGGAGATTAGCAAAATTATTCTACAGCTTACTCAGAGAGAGAAAAGACCCAGAAAAACCATCACAATAGTAAAAGAGAAAAACAAAGGTGGAAGACTGACACTACTCAACTTTAAGCTTTACTGTAGTGGTACAGAATTCAAGGCAGAGTGATATTGGAAAAGAATAGAGAAATGCATCAACAGAACAGAGCCAACAAACAGACCCAAGCAAATAGAGCTGCTCATGGTTGGAATGTCCACTCGAAAACTTACATTGGAATGTAATTGCCATTGTAGCAATCTAAAGTGGTAGAACCTCCAGGTGTGGTGGTACACACCTGTAATTTCTGCACCCAGAATGCCAAGGTGGGAGGATCACTTGAGCTTGGGAGTTCAAGATCAGTCTGGACAACTTAGCAAGATCACGTCTCAAAAAGAAATAAAGTGGGACCTTTAAGTGGGGCTAGGAGGTCCTCATGAGTGGATTAATTCGGTATTGTGGAAGTGGGTTCCTGACTAAAAGGATATGTTTGGTTTAATTTCCTCTTTCTGTCTCACATATGCTTGTTTGTCCTTCCATTATGCATACATGCTGGAGCCATGCTCTTGGACATCCTAGCCTCCAGACCTGTGAGAAACATAAACGTCAATTTTTTTATATTACCCAGTCGGTGATATTCTGTTGTAGTGGGACAAAATGGACTACAACAATAGTAAACTGTTCTTCAACAAAGGAACAAAGGGAAAATGGTGAAAATATAGCTTTTTGAACTAATGGCATTAGAACAACTGGACATGCAGAAGATGAATCTATACAAAGATTTTGTACCCTTCACAAAAAATTAACACAAAATGGATCACAGACCTAAATGTAAAATGCAAAATTGTAAAATTCCTGGAAGACAGTACAGGGGAGAATCTAGATGACCTTGGGTGATGACTTTTTAGATATGAGACCAGAGGTACAATTCATGAATGAAAACATTGATAAGCTGGGCTTCATTCAAACTTGAAAATTCTGCTTAGAAGGGATAGTGTCAAGGGAATGAGAAGATAAGCCAGAGCATGATATAAAAATATTTCTAAAAGACATATCTGATAAAAGGCTGCTTTACAAAATATGTAGAGTCCTTAAAATTCAACAATAAAAAAATGAACAGCATAATTAAAAAATGAGCCTAAGACCTTAATACCTCACTAAAGAAAATATGCTGACTAAACAGATGAAATTTTATGGCATTTGTCACCAGGGAAATGCAAATTAAAACAATAATGAAATATCTGTGCACAATGGCTATAATCCAGAACATGGACAATATCAAGTACTAGTGAGTATGTGAAATATTAGCACATTATAACGGCTTTATTCCATCGCTGGTGGAATAAAACATGGTGCATCTACTCTGGAAGTCAGTTTGATAGTTTCTCATAAAACTAAACATACTCAAACATAGAAAAAAGAAACTAAACACACTCTTACTGTATGATCCAGCAATTATGCTTCTTGGCATGAACTGAATGGAGCTGAAAACTCATGTCTACACAAAACCCTGCACATGGATTTTATTGTAGCTTCATTTGTAATTGCCCAAACTTGGAAGCAACCAAGAGGCATTTTGGAGGGAAACTGACAAGGTGTGGTACATCCAGACAATGGAGTGGTGATTCAGTACTTTTTAGAAATGAGCTATGAAGCTATGAAAAGATATGGAGGAAATGTAAAGACATACTACTCAGTGAAAGAAGATAATTAGAAAAGACTATAGGCCATATAATTGCATCTATATAGAATTCTGGAAAAGGAAAACTTTGAAGAGAGTAAAGAGATCAGTGGTTGGCAGGGTTAGAAGTAAGAGAGAAAAGAATAGATGGAGCTTAGAGTATTTGAGGGGCAGAAGAACTACTCTGTATTGTGCATAAATTATGCTTTAATACATTTTTAAAAGTGTAAATGGTCTGGGAAGGCCAAAACACAAAACTCCAAAGACTCTGAAGTCTTAAATCTCTTCTTATGGATCCATAGATTCCTAGGGATTTATGAACTAAGATGCTGCTATTGATTTGATTTTCAGTGTTTGTCTTTTTCAGATAGACTAAACATTTCTTGAGAGCAGAATACTGTCTTAATTAAGCATTTTTAAATCCCAACTCATATAGTGCTTAGTATAGCTTTCATACATTGCTCAAGCTCTTTAAATATTGAATCATTTAACTCATGTATAATGAAATCTTGTAAGTTAAAGAGTTTGTCTCCTTCACTTAACTGTAATTAGTAAATATTTCATTAGTTTTCTAAAGAATATTCATTTTCTTATTTCCTTTATTTGACCATTGGTATATTAACACTGAATAAGATAAATATAAAACAATTACATAATTGTATTTCAATAAAATCATAATAAATAAATCAAGTTTAATCAGTGATTGTTTTTTAACAGGAAATGTTATTTTTGATTAAAACAAGACATGACAATCAATGAGTTAGGCATTATTAATTTTTGAGAGTCTAGTCTTCTTTTTTCAGTAGTGCCCCGTTCAAGAACCCCAACAATTTTGGAAACATCTCCACGACTCATTCGAAAGGCACTGGAACATGTGAACATAAATCAATATGTACGGTAAGTCTTAACAAACATGATTAATGCAGACAACTGTGTTCATAAAATTTTGGATACATTGCCAATGTGCAGTTGCTAAGCAACTAAAAATTTGGAATTAAATGTTTATTATCTCTTAAGTGAGTCTAAGGTTTTAGGAGTCATGATTTTACATCTTGAATTTGGCAAATACTTCATTAAGTCAATTATAAAGGCATTTAAAAGTTTTTACAAATATTTTGTAAAAGTTTTGTAAGGTAAGTCGAGCTGCAGAAAATTCTCCTTATGCCTTCTGCTATGGTTTAATTACATTGAATTTTCTTAAGAACTAAGCAATAGGATTAACCCCTCATGTATAGTTATATGTTTGAAAATATTGTCAAAATTATTTAACTGCCTAAATTCAGAAGGAAAACTCTTAAAATAGTCTCATAGTTTTGAATACCAGTTCCATAATCGCCTCAACACATGACTATTCAAATTTACTGATATTTTCTAAAACTGTCAGTGATTTAGTAAATTAAGAAATTAATAGTTATTCTTTGTATATCCAATGTTTGATTTGATTCAGACTCCCATAACTCCACTGACAAGATTTTAAATTATTTTTGTGTTCTAAAGTAAAGTTTATTCCAGAGTTCTTAAGTGAGTTGTGCATTTCTTTTGATGATTTTATGTCAAGGAAAACAAAAGATGAAGCTCTGTTGCAGACAGACGAACTGAATCAGCAGCAAGCAATGCAAAAGGCAGAAGAAGTTCACCAATTTCGTGAACATAGAACCAGAATCCTTAGTGTTAGAGACATTGATCAAGAAGAACGGTTTAAGTTAAAGGATGAAGTTGTCAACATGTATGGGGAAATGAGGGTGAGTTTAAAGTATATACAAGTGTCACAGTTGATAATTTCTTTTGTAATATTAAAAAGAAAACAAAATCATATAGTATCTGAATAAAAAGAAGTCTTAGAAATGTTTATTTCTACAAGTCACAACTTCTTAGTAAAGATGACCAGTTGATCATACATATGTCATTTTACTTACCTCATAAACTGCCTCTAAAATGTCATACTGGGACTCCATGCTCAAAGATGAAAACAGTGGGAGAAAAGACAAAACTATTTGTGAATTTGGGGAAAAAAATGGATGAAAACCATATTAACAGACTTGAGACAGCTAAAGCCTGAACTGGCAGTGGGAACATTTTTGAGAATGAAACCAATTTACTCCACAGAATTCCTACAGACTCAGCAATTGGCAGCACAATGCATGTTAAGAAGTAAAAGTGAATTGGAAGGAAGATAAAATAATTGGGTTTAAAACTCTTTTAAAATTATAGATCACTACTTCAACTTTTTATAGCCAGGTGACTATCACTCCTCCTTTTTTTTATTTTGAGGTGCTGGGGTTTGAACTCAGGGCCTACACCTTGAACCACTCCACCACCCATTTTTGTGATGGGTTTTTTTTCAAGAAAATGTCTTCCTTGGGCTGGCTTTGCAATACCATCCTCCTGATCTGCCTCCTGATTAGCTAGAATTACAGACCTGAGCCACCAGCACTAGACTTTCTTTCCAAAACTATGATCCAATTTAGCCAGAAGTTACTCACACCACTGACAAATGAATGAAGCCCCAGCACATATATCTCTGTAGTTTCAATTTCATCTTACTCCTAACATTAATGAAAATGCACACCAGTATCCATATCAGAGCTATACTTGTTTGTTGGTTACAATCACTGGTTACCTAAGGATACAAGGGTTCTGCAAAAACCTCAAAAACATTCTACATGAGTCATTGGCTATATGTAACTTACAACAGACAATGTTATATATATTATTTGTGTAAGTCATATAAGTTATGACTACATATTCCCCATATCGATAAATGTATAATAAAGTTATATGTAAAAAAAGAAGAACAGAGGTGCTTTATTTAGACATGCCCGCCCCCCAAAAAAGACTTTCTCTACTGGGAAAGACAGATCTTAATTGAAAACAGGTATATCGTACTAGAAATGGAAAAATTCAATAAATTTGTATGGATGACTTCCCACTATAGAGGATGGGGATTTACCTTTTTTTCTCTCTCTTCCTTACAACACCCATACATGTAGGCTACAGAACTTTCTAAACATTTTAGTCACAATGATATCACTTGCTCCCACCCATATGGGAGGAGTTTGACAACTGTTTGTCCAATAAGCACCCCAAACTAAACCTCTCCAAATCTAAATTCTAGGATTCTTGCCTTCCTCCTATCTCCACACAAACACCACTCCAATATTCCCCTTCCCATTAAGTAACAATTGCACTCTTTCAGTTGCTCAGAGAGAAACCCTGGAGACATCCTTAAGTCTCATTCTTCACATATAATTCATTACCAAAACATATCGACTCCATGCTGAAAAACATTCAAAGTTCAGCTCCTCACTTCATCTAGCTCTATCACCACAGTTCAAATCATCATTGTTCTCCACTGAGAGTATTGCTTCAGACCCCCCCCCCAATTAATCCCACTATTTTCATTTATACAACTCTATAATGTGGTTTGTGCCTAGAAGCCAAAAGGCATTATCCACCAGGATCCCCTGTGTTTTCCATTGGTTACAATTCTCCAGTTTATAGTGGCTTAGCTTCTGTAAAAGGGCCAGAGAGGAAATAGTTTGTCCTTTTTCCAGGCTGTATGTTGCATCCACTCAACTCTACCACTATTAATGCAAAATCAAAAATAATACTTAAGTGAATACTATGTAGAAAAATAAACATAAGTCAGATTGGTTCCACAGTCTTTAGGTATCAACCCCTGCTTTATCTAGCTACCTGTATAACATGTTCAGTAGGAGGCCCTTTTTATTACATTTATTAAGATACTCAGGGTAAAGATGATTCCATAAAAAACATTCAACAAACATCATTGTGGTAGAGGAAGAGAACATTGTAAACTGTGCATTGGTTGTTACGATTTCTATCCAGAAGGGCTACATTGCTTCCACTTACAGTTCATTGGTTAAGGCAAGTCACATGGTCACACATTAACTTCAAAGAAGGAACCAACCTTAGCTGAACTTATAGCATCAAGGATTTTGAGACAATATGTTTGTGTTGTTTAAGTCATATGTCAGTAATCTCTGAAGGAATGGCCATATTTTCTCCTGTCTGATAAGTATGTTACTATTATGTTTCTCATCAAATAGCTTCCACCAAGACAAGGGTGTTTTGAATACACAAACAAGGTTTGTGGTACTTTGTTTTAGCTGCTGTAGCAAACTAATACAGAGGACAGTGCTTCCTCCTATCTGGAAGAGATTGTGAAATCCTAGTGAATGGTACTAATGGTCATAGTAATACATCTTTAAAATGGAGAGTAGAATCATTTTGCTCCTCTAATGGCTTCACTTTTCACTGTCTTTGGCTTTTTGAATTTCCCCCAGAATATCCTTTCCCCAGATAGACAAATGGTTTAAACCTTCATTTCATAATCTGTCTTGTCATTAGATAGATCTTCACTTAATATTGAAGAGTAGATCTATATATTAAATATAAATAATTTTTATTCTGTCTTGACTAGAATATAGACTGTATGTGAATGGGGACTTTGTTTAGATTCACTGCTGTGTTCCCAGAGCCTGGAAGGGATGTGTGCTTCCCAAAAGTGTTTAATAAATGAATCAGTGAATATGTGAATAAATGTTAACATTGAATAGATTCAATTTGTCCTGTGGAAAACAATTAAAATTAAATTATCAGACAAAAGGGAATTTTAAGATCGCTATTCTTGATTTCTGTGCTAATGCAATAGATGAAGGTGAGATAGAGAAGAAATATTCACTGGCTTAATTTTGAATTCAGATCCCATTCATTTAAGTGTGAAGTACAAATAAATGCCCTAGGTAGCTGTTCCAAAATCTCAACAAAAGTATGTCAGTTGCAGAAATATGAAAAATTTCTTCAACAATCAGAGATGAAAAAAGGCAGGCATTTCTAAAAAGTTCTCTTCATCATTTCAAGGACTGGGTCTGATAAATACAATTTTTGGTATGATAAGAATGAAAATCAAGCGGACAATAACCAAGGAAGCCAGTGAATTCTGTGGTGGTATTTGGAAGTTCCTGTCAGGGCTAGAAAACAGGAGAGGAGCTAGTAATTTATTGAGCAGTTACTGTGTGAGAGACAGACTACATCTGAACTCATATAAGGCAGGTAGTTTCTCTATTCCTTTACCAATTTTTTTCTTTACCTTTCTATATTTTTCTCCTACCGGTGTTTTTATTTTTCATTTTTTTCATCTTAAAATTTCACACACCCCATATTCCTATCTCATGTTCTGTGTATTGATAAATGTAACCTAATTTTCATCTTGAGTAGTCTATTGAAGGTAATTATGTATCTATTGCATAAGGAAAAGATAAAGAAAAGGTGTTACTTTTTTTTCTGGGACCATAAATCATTATCAATGGAACTGATTTGTTTGAGGTTTTGTTTTGGAACAGGACTCCTTAGATGAAGAGCGAGAGAAGATTTTTAACGTCCGTGAAGAGTACAGAAACAAGCTGCTGGAAGACGAGCGCCTACGGCTGGAAATGCTGGCTGCTCAGGAGGCAGCAATGAAGGCCGAGACAGAAAAGAAGAGCCCTCCTGACTCACAGAAAAAAAAGAAAGGAAAGAAAAAGTAGCCAGGAGATACCTAGTCCACTCTTCTGCTGTTAGAGGCCAAAAATATTCAATGACCTGGAGCTTCAAGTTGATGGAATGTTAGGACAATTTAAACTAGAAAGCTTCTTATTTTCAGACATACTTTCTACATTTTAATATTAATGTGCTGTGTTTTTTCTCAGAAAATTAGCATTCAAAACCATTAGGGTTGAAAATGTTCTAATTTCCATAAAATTGAGGTCAAATCTTTAGATTACAATAAAATCTATATGTCACACTCTGAATCACCTACATTTTTAATTAGTAGTAAAACAAGTTCATAAAAGAATAGGATTGTCTTTGAACAAATCAGTAATGAGATAAATAGCTATTGTCCTTCGAAGAAGTTTTGGCTAAAACTTTGAAGATTTTAAAATATTAATAAATATGCCTCATCCTCATGCCAATTTTGTTTATTTATTTATTTGCTTGTTTATTTCCTTTATTGTGCTGGGTGGAGGTACACTGTAGCATTTACAAAGGTTCTCATAATATATCAACTGTATCATACTTGAATTCTGCCCCTTCCCCATTCATGGAATAGTTTCCAACGGGTATCATTATTGCAGTTACATGCATGTTTACACATTTTTTGCACTGTATTCACCCACCCACCCCTTTCCCTATCACCTCCCTCCTCCTCCATGCCAATTTTTAAAGCTGAATTTCATTAAAATTTATTGCGCAAAAACTGTGCTGATGTAGTCTGCCCAAGGTGTTAGGACTCAGGAGCCTCCTTGTGAGCTTGGAAGCCCAGGCCTAGAGGATGTGAGTGCAAGTACATCCCTTTTCCCAAATACCAGGACCTTGTTTTCTGCAAGACAGAGAGCGAGATCTTGTAAACCTATTTTAGGAAAATGCAGTGAATGGATAACTGAAGCACTGGACTTTCCCCAGAAGTATACTTTCAACTCAGGACTATCTCAGGTGGAAAACTGTCATTGTATTTTTTAACCAAATTGCTTCACTTTGATAAATGATTTTAGTTTTCCTTCCTTACATAAATCTTTATTATAAAAATACTTAATTTAATCCAAACATTCATGTTATATTAGTTACTTTTCCTGTCGCTCTGGCAAAACACCTGACAGAAAAATTTAAAAAGAGGAATCATTTCTTTTGTGAGAAGTTTCATGCCTGGTCCTGAGCACTTGTGCAGAACAGCATGGTGGTGGGAGAGTGTAAAGGGCAGGTGCGGGGAGGGGGTGGAGAGAATGGGACCAGGTACCAGAGGCCAGGCATTATTACCTTCTAAGTCATGTGCCCAGTGGCCTCCTCCCTCCAGCTAGGCCCCACCACCTAAAGTTTCTATTACCTCCAAAAATGGCGCCACAGCTGGGAATTCAACAAAGGAGTCTATAGAGGACATTTCATATGCAAACCATGATACCGGTCAAAAACTTTTGACAAAGGTGCCAGGAAGAAACAATGGAGAAAGGAAGTTCTCCTCAATAAACAAGGTAGGGAAAACTGAATATACAGTGCAAAATAATGAAACAGGGCTATTTTCACATACAAGATACAAAAATGAACTCAAAACGGATGAAAAAGTTAAACACAAGGTTTGAAACCATAAAACTCCTCGAAGAAAACATAGGGGAAAAGCTTCTTGATATTGGCTTGGCATGAAAAGCAAAACCAAACAAATGGGACTATATCAAACTAAAAAGCTTCTGCAGAGCTTTTTTATTGTTACAAAACAAAAATGTAGTGTGCAGAGGGAGAGAATGTAAACTCATTCTGATAAGACATTATCTAAAAGGTGCGAGTAAACACACAAGACTTAGTAGCAAAACAAAGGACCTGAACAGGCATTTTCCCAGTGAAACCATGTCCAACATGGTTATTATAAAATTGTGCTCCACATCACTAATCATCATCTAAAAGCAAATCAAAATAGCAATGAGATATCACTTCATACCTGTTAGGATGGTGTTTATCTAAAGGATAAACGTGGAACAGACACGTGTTAGTGAGCCTATGAAGAAATTATATTCACACTGTTGGTGAGAGTGTAACTGGTGCAGTCATTATGGAAAACTGTATGGAGGTTCCTGAAAGAGTAAGAACTACCACTTTGGGGTATACATTTAAAGAAAATAAAATCAAAATCTAAACTTGATACTGACAACCCCATGTTCATGACAGCATTATTCACAAAAATAATATGGAGACAACTTAAGTGTCCATCTATGAATGAATGAATGAATATATATATGAATATTATTCATCCATGAAAAGAAGGATGCCTCACTTTTCTCCTGGAACCTTCTCTTACTGCTAACACTTTTCAATTGGCTTCATTCTTCTAATGATGTTTTCTTACTTTGAAGCTTGCTTTTCTGGATTTTCTGTGGGTCCTAGTGAAAAAACATGGATTATAGGATAAGTTGGTAGGTTTTTGTGTTCTCTCCAGTCCCAACCACACAAATGTAAATGCTGAGTCCATTGCTTGTCTGCCCATGGCCCCAAACTGCCACAAGTGTTCATGGGAATGTTTTGTCAGTTTTGCTGGCCATTTATCTGGGATTTTTCTTTGATTTTGTTTGAGAGAGAGAGAGAGAGAGAGAGAAAGAGAGAGAGAGTATGGGTGTGTGTTGTGTATGCATGTTTTAGCATCCTCATTAGACTCACAGTTTTTAGGAGCAGTGTGTGGACTTTCAGTACAATAATACTACCATTTTCTTAATATTAGAAGTCTGTTATTTATTCCTTATTTTTCTTCTAATCAGACTATATGGTCTGTAAAATATTTACTTTTCAAAAATTTAAGAAAACTTTCTGTGTAACGAAACAGAGAATTAAGTGCTGTAAGTGTGTAGGCTTATCTTAAATTTGGCATATATATACATATGACATATTGTAATAAGTGGTTAAAAGCTGCTTTTGCTGAGAAAGATGGACTCTTAAGGGCCACAAGTTAACTGAAGGCAGGATAAAAGCTAGGTACCCAGTCTCCTTTATGTACCTGTGTCCTTTCCTCTAAGCCATTCTCTCCTGTAGTCACTTTGCAGCCACCTGGGAATCCAAGAAGGACTGAACTACCTGCCAGGCATCAATGACTCTTCCTATAACAAGGCCCCACAATCCTGAGACAGTGACGTGTGACTACTGCCTGTCACCTACGTCCACCTGAACACAACTGTGACTAGAACTTTTTTACTATGCATACCGCTCACCTACTGCCCCAATTCTTCCTTTATTTAAATTAAGGCAAATCTCTGTTCCAGAAAGATGGCTTAAGATGAGTTGAAATGTTGCTTTTCTACTTTCCATAGCTCCCTTACTGTGTAATAAATTTTCTTTCTCTGCCCTTCACCATTATTCATCTTTATTTATGTGTTGGAGCAAGTGACAGTACCAACCTATGAAACCTGGGACCTACAACATACTGTAACAATATGTAGTGCTATATCTATCTAGCTAGCTAGCTGTCTATTTGTCTATCTATCATCTATCTATCTTCACTGCTTGAAAAGAGAATGCAAATCTTAATTTAAGAGATGCCTATGCATTTACAAAATTAAGTCCTCAACCTGGTTTTATAGAAAATTTACATCTTTTTTTCAATGAAATATAACAGTCAAGTTTTAATTACTCCATATTTTAACTTGTTTTATTCTATTCCATTTGTCCAGTTCTGAAAGGTATGTTATAAAGATCAATTATGTATTTTTAAATTTGTCTTTAGAGTAATCTTTGTTTTTAGCAATGTTGTCATCTAAGAATGTATTCAGCTAACAGTAATGAAAAAGTCAATTACCTTTACTCAACTGAACAGAAGGATATTTTATTAATAAGATGCTAACAGCTCAAAAGTTAGTGCAAATATTTCTGTAGTATCACTGTCTTTTTTTATTATCAAAAAATAGCTATTGAAATTCTATTAAAAATATGTACAAAAATATTCACAGCAGCACTATTTATAGTAGTCAAATACCAGGGAGACTCAAATTGCCTTTGATAGTACATTGAATAAGTCAGTTTATCGTGGAGGTCATGTAGCTCAGTGGTAGAATACTTTCCTAGCATACACAAGGCTAGGAAAGGCTCTGGGCTTGATCCCCATTACTGCCAAATAAATAAATATCATGTTTGCTGAGTAAATGAACCACTTGCATGCTCCACAAGATAAATAATTTTAATAAGTATTTCATACATGTATGTTTTAACACCAAGCAAAATTAATTTGGGCCTTAAAAATTACAATAATAATTAAATTTGTGGAGTGAATTGTACCAGAAATTGTCATGAAGATGTCATGAATTTTGAATCTGTGGGTTGATAAAAGAATTTATCAAAATAGGAGAGTAAGAGAAAACAAAGATTTATTAGGGTCCCATTAAGGAAAAAACGGTGGGCAACTTAGCATCAAAGGAAATGTTGCTGCTACTGCACTGATAGGGGTTGGGAACAAGCTTTTACAAAGTTTACTTGGGGTTTCACCAATTGGTTGTTTCTTTCTCATGGGCTTTATTGATTGTTGTTCCTTCCTTGAATCATGAAGTTAGTTAGCATGTGGGACCATCTTGCTAATTTGGCTTCCAGATTCTATTTGGCCCAGTTGGTAACCTTGACTCACTTTCATGCTCCATTTGGCCATTGGTATTTTCCTGTCCACCATATCTCCTTAAAAGGAAGGTCTCCTCCACATTCCCACAGGCAAAACAATAATATCAATCCTGGTTTTACCAGAACAAATATCTCATCTTCTTATAACTGCTCTGAGCTTAGAGAGCTCGTAGGGAAGCGTCTGCCTTTTTATTTATTGTTCAGGCAGAGTTATGGAGGATTCCATGGAGACATGGCATTATATAATTGAATACTGGAAAAAATTGTACAGAAGCCTGACTCACAGTACTAAGAGTCACTGGATGGTCAGATAATAGGGGATGGATCCCATGTTGTAGCATCATCTGTAACTTTATGGCCTGGAGTCAGGTAGAAACAAATCTGATTAGAAGGTTAATAAATCAAAGTA